GTTCGTTTGGTGAACGGCTCCACATTTTCTTTAACGGAGAGTCTCCAGACTGATCTGCTAGTGAAACCTCAAAAGCTTGCGAGATCAGGATGGTCTCATGAGGCTAAAAATACCCAGCCCTGGTTAAAAGGGAGTTTTTCCTCTCCACTGTCGCTACAAGTATGCTTAGTGTGAGGGTTTGCCTTCAATCAACTGGTTTTTCTTATATATAAAACTTTTAATTAATTTGACTGGATGATCTGGTTGAACTGTAAAGTGCATTGAGATGACATGTGTTGTGAATTGCTGCTATATAAATAAACTGAACTGAATGTAGCTTTGTTAAGTTTTTTGTAAAACTGAGGTAGGGTTGGTATGACTTTAAAAGTTAATCCTTAACACGGAGTCCTGAGTGACACGTGTGAAGGCTCCAGTCTGTAAGCACAAAGAGGCAGTGTGTGACCGTGGGTACCGCGACGTCAGTGTCTCCGTGTCTGAGCGGAGCTGAGCAGCAGCAGCAGCAGCAGCGTCACTGCCTCACGGCATCAGAGGCACCGCGGACGTTTAGACGAAGAGGACACGTCGTCTGGACAGCTGCCGTAAGGTTAAGCCGCTCTCTTTACTTAGAAAATGCTTTTTATTTCATTAATTTCAGGCTTACTCTCCGTTGTTCCTTTCGTGCGCTAAGCGGCGCAGAGCAGCATTGGTACCAAACGTGGCGAGACCGCAATGACTAGCAGCGCTCCCCGCACTGTGGCCGTGTGTTGTGCTGTAGCCATAAACTGCGTTGCTATGGTATTGAAAGGCAACATCCCACCTGCTGCTGGGGAGCCTGTTTCTCCCCCCGGAAAGAGTGTAAAAATGTCCCGGAATAAAGAACCCTTCCTCTAATTAAGGTGCTGTAAAGGAAACGCGCGTGCGTGTTTCGTTTTCTGCCAATTAAATACTTCTGACTTTTGGACTGTATTGTTTAGAAAAAGTTGTTTGAATGTTCTTAAAGTAGCTTGCACCAGGGGCGGAGCTAGATTGGGGGCCAAGGGTGGCCGTGGCAACCCTTAGCCAATCTGTGGCCACCCCTACCATTTTTCCCCTTTAATACAGATGATGGCAACAATAATATTCTCAAATGGAATATTCAAAACATTTAAATGTTTTGTGGTTAATTATACATATCAATATACTAACATCAAAGATGATAAGTACAAAATTCACGCTCTTTTCAGAACTAGATTTTTTCTTATATGGGGGAAAGAGAAAATGATGTGTCTCTGCAAGTCATTTAGGAGTCTTCAGTGAAATCATAGATAAATAACAATTTTAATAAACGCTTTTCAAATAATCAATTTATGTAGATATTAGTGCTTGTAAATATCAATTTTATGCAGAATGTTTATTGACACAAGTAGGTAAGTAATGAGTTTTAGCCACTATACCCTTTATCTAGAAATTATAGATCTTTAAATATATGTGTCTATTTGTTAGCAAAGGCTGTAGGAAATTATAGTTTGTCTTTATTTAAAAAATATACATTTTTTGCTTGTTAATTTTCCTGTTGGAACAATGTAGATTGACCCTGAGGTTTTGTTTGGTGCCTATCCGCTTTCGGCAACCCCTCAGTGTACATTGGTTATTGCCTGACCACCCTTATAAAATATTTCTGGCTACGCCTCTGGTTTGCATGTCTGAAAGCTTTCATCTAACACAGTTTTGTAGTAGAAATACGATTTTTAACATGTTTTGGCATCTTAAAAGTGTGCTGTGCATTTGATTGCTGCCCCATTTATGCTGATATCTTCAAATAAAATCTTGTGCAAACATTTGGGGTATCTGCTGTCACATTGGATCAGGAATGGCTGGGGCCAGTGGCATGGACAGACTTCTTGAAGGGCAGGGGTGGAAAGAAAAGAAAAAAAGGGGGCACATATTGTGCAACCTCGCCACGGTAGAGGGGATTTTAGCACATTTTGGTTCTAAAGTCGTAGGGAAATCATATTTAAATGTCAACTGATTCTGGCTTAAACATTTATATAAACGTACTTTATCAGATGATACTGCCCCAAAATTTAAAAAAATCCTGTCTTAAGATCTGTGTTTTTTTCCATTATCTTATGCAGGCCAGACTGCTGTGTCCCAATGTAATTTCCCATTGGGAACCTACTAGCACTGAGTTGCTAAATGTTTAGCAAGATGCTTCCGACAAACTGACCACAACCAAACTAGCTTGCGAACCTTCTGCCACAACAATCACGCCCCCTTGATAATCGACCAATCATATTCACTTTGTTCACTCGTGTAAAGTTGGGCACCACTCGGGAGAATTCGGAAATGCAACAGTTGGAACGGCCACTTCCCTACAACTTTAAGCACACATTTGATTGCTTTCAAGAGGAAACTTTAGCACCCATTTAAACTCCCAAGGTGGCACTTGATGGTAGTTTAGCACACAATTTATTGCTCTCAAGGGGGCACTTGCCTTTTGGCTCCAAAGTGGGCGTACTTGAGTCTGCCTTTCATCTTATATCTTGTCTGAAGGAATGTCGATATTTTTAACATCTCAACATATTGCCCTTTGTTGATCTATTTCTGTGTGATAGACTGTTTCATCTTTAACAGAGTTTCCTCAATATTTCCATTGTAATTAGTTACATTATATTTTTTTAAAACACTTCCTGATTCTGCCACCATTATTTCGTCATGGGGCTTTTGTATTAATGTTAATAAGCAGCATTATCACTGGATTTTTTATGTAAACCAACCATGAACATGTTCGGCTTATTTGCAATGATTTGTAATTTTCTTTCCATCTAACAATTTTGTAGTTGTCTGATTTTTGTTATCTATTGACGTTTGCGATTTTTAAAATCATAAAACCCACGGAGGTGTATGAATCTTTTTGTTAGCTGTAAAGAGATGTCTACAGTCTACAGGAGATTTACATACGTAGAAAGAAAGCTGTATCCAAAGGCAACTTGTAGCTGAGAACAGACCGCGTTTTTTACGGAAACACAGCCCTCATGCTTGTCATACCAATTGTAACGGCTCTCTGTTTATCCTCATAGAGTCTAAGCGAAACCACAGATTTAAAGGCTCAAGCAAACCAAAGATGGAGATTACCAGCGGAGCATCCCTCAGAAGGACTTCACCGGCTGTGGACACAAAAAGTAGATGTTTGCATTGAAGGGGCCCGGTGCGTAGCCGTTTTTTTTTTTTCTTTCTTTTTTTGCTTGTTGTTGTGTATTCTGTGCCTCAGACTGAAGCTGTCGTTAGACATCATTTCATGATAACACCAGGGCCCACGATACAAAGAAATTCCATTATCTCTATCTCCTGGCGGCTGTGACGGGGAAGGAAATCACCATCCTATTCTGTCGTGGGGCCAGGAAGGAGGGAGATTTATGAGATTTATGAGTCACAACGGAGAGAAGCGGAAAAAAAAAAAAAAAAAGCTGTCACTCCTCAAATCTGCCTGTAAACTTTGTAGAAAGCTTCTATGCTTATTTTAAGAGCAGCACCAGATGCCATATTGGCTGTAAAACTATAGATAGAGAGGAAGATCTGGCATTTTTGTGAGCTCTTTAAATTTTTTCTGAAATATTTCAAACCTTTTAATCAAACTGTGTTATGTGTGTATTAATTTCGAAGAGGTAAAGTGGTGAGAAAGTGCAAAGGAGTAGTTTACACACCTCCTTATCTGGGCTGTCAGGAGGGAGGTTTCTTTTCTACAGTAACTTACCCGGAGCAATAGAGATAGCGGTGGGAAAGGAGGGGTGGGTGGAGTGAGAAGAACAGTGAACGACTGTGAGGGAGTGAGCGTGCTTCACCCAGTCTTTGAGTGACTCTTGTATCCAAGGACGGAGGTAGCAACGCATCCGAACGCCACTCTTCGCCCACGGACTGCTGTGAAGAAATGAGGCGGACGAGCGGGGACTCGATGGTGCTCTTATAGACTCAGCAACCTGCCTTGCCCTGATTCACAGAGCCCCCCCCCCACCCTGGGGTTTGATGCATCTCAGGGATGATGACTGAGCAGATCATGACAGCAGCTAGAGTGAAAGATAAAATCATGTAGCTTGAATGGGAGTTTTTTTTTTTCTTGAATATTTTTTTTTTCTGGTCAAGCACAACGTGTGTTTTCTCATTTTTCCCTATCGGTGTCAATCCACCTAAAGCGGCCCACGTCTGTTGTATGTTGTTGGCAGACGAGTGCGCAGGAGAGGAGGTAGTAACAGGTGCCGCGTGCCAAGGTGAATTTGGAGGTGTGGAAGAGAGCTGAAGATCATGGGCAAATCAAACAGCAAGCTCAAGCCAGAAGTGGTGGAGGAGTTGACAAGAAAAACCTACTGTGAGTACCTCAAGCTCCTTTTTTAACTTCAAAAAGCTTGAAGGAAGTTCTGTGAACTCTGTAGAGATTAAAAGGAATGACTGAAAATGCTTGATTTAAAAGAAATACTATTGATCTCAATGCTGCAGTTTTCTAATGATATTTTTTACCCACTCTGCACCAACCAGGCTGTACGACACTTGGTCTTTGTTATTGACAAACCAGAGCTGCATCTAAATGCCAGCTCCCTGTTTCATTTACATTTAAGTGTCGTTGTTATTTGTTAAAGGTAGAGGGGAAAGTTAATTTATGCTGCTTTGATTCACAGTGGGGAGATTTGAAATATATTAGGTTTACATGTCATGGTTTTATACGCAGATGTAATGATCAGAAATTTTGGGGGTTTATTTTTAATTGCAGATTTTGTAAAAGTCTCTTCAGGCTGTGCTGAATTTTAGCTTTTTTTTTTTAAATGACTGTTAATATCAACAAAATGCTTTATCATAATTTTGGAATAATTGGAATGGTTGTTCAGAAATCTACAAAAGTTACAGAGCTGTGAGTCCCTGCACGACTTGAAATCTAGTAAAGGCAATTAAACTAAAAAATAATATACTGATAAAGACAGAAAGGTCTTTATCTCTTCTCCTTTTTTTTACAAGGAGAAGAGATTACAAACACTAATGGCAGTTTGATTTGCATTATTCTGAATGCACCGATTACAGGTTTCTGGCCGATCATCGATTCCAGATTTTTAAAAAGCCTGACATGCCGATTCTGATTTTGACTGATGCAGATTTTTTTTTTATAACTGAGACTGTTGGTTTTTATAAGATCACAAGAAACATCATAATTCAATATTATCTTAGTGAAAAACATCAATCATTGCCTGTGAAACAATAAAAACTTCTGAAATAACTGCTATGTAATATATAAATTAAAGTTTAAGGCATGGGGGAAATGTCTGCTTAGTGGTTAGAGCAGCGCGCTTTTGCTCTGAAAAGGTTGCAAGTAGCTGGTTTGATCCTTACAGCCTCCAATCTGGGTTCCTGAGCAAAACTCTTACCCCACACTGCTCCCCAGGCGCCATACAATGGAAGCCCATTGCTGCCCAAAGGAATGGGTTAAAGGAAAAGGTGAATTTCTTCAGTGGTAGATCAATAAAGTTACTTTTTTTTTTAATTATTATTATTTTTTATTATTATCTACAACAATAAAGAGGGCTTAGATCAGTTTCGCATGTGGGTATTAGCTAATCATCGATCTCCTAAAATTAAGAAAATCTACATGATTGATCGTCTGGCGGATAAATCGGGTCACATCTATTTAAAAATGATTTTAAAGGAGTTCAGGCTGAGTTAAGGTTGCAATTGGGATGTTGCACAGGTGAGCCTGAACAAGTGCTGCAAGCATTTATAGTTAATGAGCTGGTACAATATTCTCTCCCCCAAAAAAGGGGGCTTTACAGAATTGAACCAGTCGAAATATAGTTACATAGAAGAAATGCTTCCCACACACCAAAAACACCTGGCTTTTGTATAAAAAAACATAAGTTATTATCATCTTGCTTTTGTGTTTTGCCAAATCTTCGACTCAGAGCAAAACCATGAGGAGGAAACCACCGTTTGACTTATCTTTAAAGGATAGAATTCTGTAAATCATTGTATTCTTACTAATGTGTACAATCTAACTTGGTAACTCCAATTTATATTTCTCTTTTTATTTTCTTTCTCAGTGGTTTAAAGTTTTTGTTACTCTCTTCCATCTGTTTAAAGTAATTATTTATATGTCTAAAAAGTCTGCATCTCCCTCATTCTGAATTGGTCCACGCTGAATTACAAAGATTCAGAGGGGCACAGCCACTTGCCCCCATAGCATGCTTGTTATAGCACAATTCGTGGACCCTACATGTTGTTGCTTCACTGTTTATACTCAATGCATCGAGTATAAACTAGCCTTTATATTTAGAAATCATTAATGTGATTCATGCATTAAGATATTGCTAGTTGAGAGAATATTGTTGTGTTAACAGATTTCTAAAGTCATTTTTGATTCAACCATTTCAATTTCCCATTAGGAACCTACTAGCACTAAGTTGCTAACAGGTTAACTAGATGCAAACCTTCCGCCACAACAATCCCGCCCCCTTGATAAACTACCAATCACATTCACTTTATTCACTCGTGTAAAGTCGGGCACCACTCGGGAGAATTCGGAACTGAAACCATTGGAGCAGCCGCTTCCCTACGACTTTAATTGAAATTTCCAAAATTCTTCTACTTTTTTTCTAATCAAGCAAGGCTGTATAATGGACGATAAAATGCATTAACCCACATTTTCCTGTATTTTTCTTATTTTCCATTAATAACTTTTCCAAACTGTGCTGTGAGTTTCAGCAACTCTGTCTCATAAAATTAACACGTGTGCCAATCTTTGCGACATGTTGGTTGACCCTTGCTGTGTAGGTGCACTATATGTATCTGGTGAGGCTTAGTTTGATTAAATAATTCGGCTTAATCTCTTATGTTCTTCTTGTACATGTTTATGAGAAGAAGGCCTCTTAATAAAGACATAAGAGCAGACTGTATTGAAAGTTTCTTTCACATTGTGGCTGAGGGGAGGTAGGAGCGTTTTGTGCAGGTGCAATAATTCAAAAATAACTTTGGGTTTTCTTACCTACCTTTCTGCAAAAATCCTTTATAGTACCATCATCATTTAAGGTTCCTCAATTTTAATTCAAATGTTTTAGTGGCATACAGAATTTAAATGCATTGAGGTTTAAATAAGACTCAAAATGTATTATGTTTTTAGTATTGAAATTATTGTCAACTAATTTAGTAATTGAATGATAATAAAACAGACTATATAGACTATAAAGTATGCCATTTGCAGGAAGAACTGTCATGATTTTATCTAAGGCTGGGACCCACATGCAGTGAAGCCAAACAGAGAGACACAGTATAAAAGTTAAACGGGTTTTATTGAAATGTTTCTTGAGTTTGGTGCAGAGTTCCTCCGAACTCTGCTCAGCCGGAAACTGGAAGGCGAGGGGAAGACAGACTGTTAGATTCATGCTCAGTGGGAAATTGGAGTTGTTAATCTTGAAGGAGAGGATTTGTTGCCACTCACGTTTCCACAGAAGTGGAGACTCTTTGACTCCAGTCTGTATGTTGGCTTCCAGAGTTTGTCTGACTCGGTGGAGGGCGGAACAGGGTTTACCCAGAACCCGGACGGAGTGGATTGATGCAGCCGCTGGTTGCAACTCAGTTTTCCTGTGGTACTTGAACGGGTCGTGGTGAAGATAATTTCCTTACTCAGAGAGTGATCTCATCGTCTTCAAAGTTGGGTGGATCCAAACCTCCTGTTTGGAATCCGTTCAGTGTAAGACTCAGTTGATCCCACTTGGGAGAGGCGGTCCGGAAAGGTCCAGTTTGCAGGAAGTCTTCCTGCCGAAAGGCAAAAACAAAACAGAGTAGAATCTCAGGGAGACAAGCACTAAGTCAAACTCAGTATGATCTCAGCTTGGCTAGAGTACAAAAACTCGAAATGCAAAAACTCAGATTAGGCTCAGAATAAACAAGGCTTGGCTAGAGTAGCCCAAACTGGCAAACACTCTGGCGTCGAGATAGTGGCAGCCAGCAGCTAAAGAGCAGTCCGGTGATGAGGTAACCGTTCGCAGGTGTGTGAGGAGGCGGACCGGAGCCAGGCGCCTCCTGGTGGTGGAAGCGAGAAATACAAAAGACAAAACAAACAGACGAACTCAAAAACTGGAGTCCTGACAAGTACACCCTACAAACAGCAGTTTAAAGGAAGACTGTTATAGGATTTAAGCATGATGAAGGTAAAACGGCCAATTAAACAGTTCTAGATAGAGCATGCCAACAGATAAATATGATTTTTTTAAATGCATAAAATATAATGTATGCATCTTTTACATTTAATCTAAAAAATTTTAAAAAATAAGAAACAGATGAAATAATTAGGAAAATAACTGTTAGTTTTGGTGCTGAAAAAAGGAACAAATGGAGATGTTATATATTAAGATTATATTAAATCATTTTAATAAAATACCATGTTATGAGCATTAAAATTAGTTTGTTTATATTTTTTTGCATATGTTCAGTGTGTTTATTACTAAATTAATTGAGAGCTACAATCTTTCATTAAAATATTGCCATTATTAGATTACAAAAATCACTCTTTAGAAACCCTTTCTGTGATGCATACTCCTGAATATTGTTTGAAATCCCCAGTTCTGAAAATAGTTTAGTGGGTCATCCTCATTTATTAAGAACTGACTGTTTATGTTTGATCAATATTTGTGTTCAGATATGGTGCAATGACTAAAAACCTTACTAATGTAATTTCTGGTGGGAAGATCATCTATCAAGGCTGGTCAAGCAGAGCATTAGTAAATCATATCATCCAATTTCTCTGTGGATCTCTTGTTCCACATAGTCTTTATGTATCTTGTGTTTAATCATTGTATTTCCATTGATATTACTAAAATAATACCATTTCAAGTGATTTTTATTTTCTACCAGGCCAAATGTCATTCTCATATTAAAAGTCTGACTTCAGCAGTGAGCTCACATAAAAAGAGAAGACTAAAAATAGATCTCGCTTCTGACAACCTGCCAGCTTGTTGATATCTATTTTCTTCATTTATTCTCTAATGGTTTTTAAATCAAACCTGAGCAAAAATGGCTTCTAAGACTATATTTGGATCACATGTGGGCTATTTCTGGAGCCCAGGATTATTATTGTTTGAGCAGTACGGCGTGCAGGTGTGGGTGGGAGTTGACTTCCATTGGCTGCTTAATGACAGTGTTATTTGTGTGGACGGTGTCTCCGCAGCAGAAACATGGGGGGCTGTTGTCGCAGGAAATTGCTGTGCAGAAAGATGAGGCATCGTGCTGGGCTGGACTGCTTGCCGCCATCCTGTGCTCGTCGTTTCTCGCTTTCTTTCTTACCCTTTCACCCTGCCTCTCTCTTTCTGTTTCGCCCCTAATTGCCCTCTT